GGAGTTACCCAATTAAATTGAGAATTACCTAATTAAGTTGGGAATTGATTTGATTCCTACCCCAATTCCCAATTAAATGAGGAGTTACCTAATTAAATTAGGATTTGATCTGATACCTACCACGATTAGGGATTTGATTTACCCTAATTAATCAAATCCCTAATTAATCAAATCAATTCCAAATAGGGGAGGAATAATTCCTTTCCATCTATGGAATTATTCCTCTGAAACCCTAATCTCCGAGACCATTATAAATACTTGGCTACGCATAAAGGTCAAGGTACGTCTAAATTCCTACTGAAACTCTGCAGAAATTATTTCTCACAAACCCTAGCCACCACTTTCTTTCTCTCTCTGACACAAGGCTCCGGCCACCACACATGGCTCCGGCCATCCGGTTTTCCTTGAAATACCCTACCTAACTTAGGTATCGGAGGGCCTTTGGCCAACACCCCCCGGGTGTGGTCCTTTTACCCCGATCTGTTTTGCAGGGAGAAAGAGAAGTGGAGAAGACGAAGGAATCTTTGGTGAATATTCTAGTTGGACGAAATTTGCTCCCACAATGTTCTTACTGTGAAAGTGATAAGGTAGTGTGCTCGCTCCTTTGTACCGAGTTCGAATTGTCCTTTCAAGTAAATGATTACTTATGCATGGGAGAATTCATACAGGACAGAGTGGGCCTGCTCTCGCCTTGTCACAAAACTTTCCTAATTACTTTGTCCTAGTTTATCAGTTATCGATTGATACTGTCCTGTCCTATTTGAAGAAGGCTCTCCCATATCTTTCATTTTCTTGCCTAGAGAGATCAGATGATAGCATGAATTTGAGTAAGTGTCAACTAGCATATTTCATTGATTTGTGTGAAGCTAATAAATTGGCTCAACCAGCTCATGGTGGCAAAAGAAAAGCTTTGGGAACATTAAGTACCTGAGAAAATGAAATAGAGTTAAAGAGATGCTGGGTTTGTTCAAAATGATTTTAAATTAATATAGATCACCACATGCATTGATGCACAGTAGATAATAACTATAGTATTGTGTAGTCATTTCTCAACTGGGGCCTTTTACATTGATCACCACATGCACCCAGACCCACGAGAAACACTTTTGGGCAACGGAATAGCACTTGTGCTATTCCGATAAATTATGTCATACGTGATAATTTTTTTATTTATTATAACGTGATTGGCCAGAATATCATTATTTTAATATTCTGACCAATCACGTTATACTACACGTGATAACTTTTTCACTTGACATAATGTGATTAACTGGAAATAGCAAAACAGTGATATTTCTTTTTCATAAGTTTTTGTTTGCATCATCCTACCTATATATAAAGCATTTAATTAGTACACTTCTTGGTTGGGTTGGGGGTTGACCATAATATTTTATTTCTTCAATCAATGGTAATTTTGCTTCTTCTACATTAGACTAGTGCAGTACTAAATTTTGCATGTGAAAACATCCACAATTGACACTATCGTTGAGACGACATTGTGTTGGATAATTATTGTAGAAAAACATATTAGTATGGAACTCTTAAATTAATTTAGATTAGTCAAACAAAAGTTTAATTATAATTTAAAATGATGGATTTCTTATCCTATATTTATAAGCATGAAGAAGCAGTACGTAGCATAATCACATTGAAAAGCTTCATGGTGATGCTTTTTGGGACTAAGAAATTAAAGGAAATTAATTATAATAAGATGAAAGAATAATACTGATTGCTAAAGCTGCAAATTAATAATACCCCTACTATTAACACATTACGTACTTTCATGATAGGGAACATACGAAGTAAATAATATATAGCTAGAAATTAATTCATTTCTCTAAAAGTTGCAGCAGAAAACTAATGTTCATATCATGATTGCACTTGAATTAGTGGCCACCGCCAGCTCCGATTCCAGCTCCACCGCCAAAGCCAGCCCCACTACCAGCACCAAAACCACCTCCTCCACCAAATCCGCCTCCTCCACCACCTCCTAATCCACCGCTAACACCTCCACTTTTGCCAAAGCCTCCACCAGCTCCAAAGCCTCCTCCAGCGCCACTGCCTACCCCACCACCACCCCCGAACCCACCTCCACCGCCAGCACCTCCTCCAAGACCTCCTCCCCCACCAACACCACCACCTGCACCTCCACCAAAGCCTCCACCTGCACCACCACCCACTCCACCACCACTACCAAGCCCGCCACCTCCTCCAGCACCTCCACCAAGACCACCACCTCCACCGGCTCCTCCACCAGCACCAAACCCACCACCTGCTCCAGCTCCACCAAGTCCACCACCACCACCACCTAAACCCCCACCACCACCAGCTCCTCCTCCTAAACCTCCACCAGCTCCTCCACCTAAACCACCTCCAGCTCCTCCTCCTATGCCACCCCCAGCTCCACCACCAAGGCCGCCACCACCTCCTGCACCCCCACCTAGACCACCACCACCTCCTAACCCACCACCTGCACCTCCTCCACCTCCAAGCCCACCACCACCTCCTAGACCCCCACCTCCGCCAAGACCACCCCCACCGCCAATGCCTCCACCAACTCCACCGCCACCAAACCTTCCATGCCTAAACCCCTTCCCGTAAATCCCATGCCCAAGACCTCCTTCCTTAAAAAAACGTGGGTGGGGATGAGGAAATAAGTGCTTATCATCCTTAACCACCTTAGCATCATCATCCGCCACAACCAAACCACTCACAAGAAAAACACATAAGATAGCAACCACAACACAACCAGCTGATAAAATGACCCTCATATTTGATAATTTGCTTAACCCAAAATGAAGCTACTTGATCAAAATGAAGGAAGCAGAGCTAATAACTAGCTCTCTCTTTCACTCGCAGTGCACAAGTAAAACGAAAGCATGCTGTGTTGTGTTATATAGTGAAAGAAGAGAAGTGAAGGTTAATAGGCTAAGAGAGGGGTCGGTCGACATGTAGTCACCCAACTGTCACGCTTGGATGGAGTAATGAGGCTCACCTGTCTTTGGGCAAGTAATTTATTTGGCCAACTGTCCTCTCCCTCCAACTCCAACACGCTCAGTCAGACATGAAATGAAAGCCCACTCTCTTCTCTTTCTTTATTAGGTGTTAGGGTTTTGACTCTCATGCTTTTTTGTTTTTCTTTTCTGCTCTGACAATAATATCATATTGATGAGAGAGTCAAATTAACCAAAACCAACAAGTTGAAAAAGCCGTGGTCTTGGTCTTGATCTGGATCTGGGGAGATTCAATTTATTTTCTTCTTAGGTGTAGCACCTAGTCTAGTGTGTGATTCAATTCAAAGGTCTTTTGTGGTGCCATTAATGGACCAACCAAACAACGTCCAGACATCATTATGCCTTCACACACACCCTCTCTCTCTCTCTCTCTCTCTCTCTCTCTCTCTCGCGACACAAACATCTTTATACCTGATCCAATGTCTCTCTCATATATCATTTTTAAAAACAAATTTGTGATAGTTATGAAATTTATCGCATCAAATAATTCAGTAAATTTCTGATCAGTTTCGCGAGTTTATATATCAACAAGTATACATATAACTAGTACAATAGTTTCTTGTTTGTTTATGAATAAAGTACGAAGTCATTTTGATATATGCTTCATGCGTGCACAGAGACCTTTTTGTTGCATGCTTCATGAGTTGGTGATAAGATGGATTATGTTGCAACATAGAATATGAAGTATGATCATTACTCTAAGTTGATGGTAGGTACGAAACAACATACCTTTTAAGTCCAATATTATTTGTAGTCTTTCAATGTTCATGTTAACAGTTTATCTTAATTTTATACAGAGAAGGATGACCCTTGTAGAACTGTTAGAAAATTGCAGTTTAGTATATGCTTGAAACTTGAATATAATAGTGCGTACTCATCCATATAGAGAAGGGTATGTACCTTTTAACTTATCAAGCCTATACAGTTCAATGTGAGGCAAGGAACTCGTTCATGTATATGTAACAATTAACTAGTCCCTTGCCTTGCCCCGTACGCCGTCTGCCAATTGTGTTTTATAATTAATTATTTTTTAAATTTTAAATTGAATTGAATTATAAATTTAAATAATAACTAATTAAAAAACTCAATTGACACACACGCGTCAAGAGGCTTAGTATTAAGAAAGGAATAAGCATGTACGTCTGTCGAGATGAGGTGAATGACCATTTCCATTGGACTGAAACTAGTGAAGACATTTCTGGTAGGGATCCCAGCCCAGCCTTGTAAAATTCTTTGAATTTGCCTTATTCTGTGAAATGATCATCCATTTAGAGAAGAATGTGCGGGCTCCTTCACAAAGTTTGGGTGCAACTTGTCCTTCAAGTAATCAATCTTCTGCAAGACGGGTGAATTGCCCCGTCGTAATGATGATGATGCATGATAATGTTTATAAGAGCATCTCCAATAGCAGTAGGCCACTCGTGTGAGCCCAAATATCCCTCAAAGCCGAACAAGTTCTTTTCCCAAACTTTCCTTACTCTGGAAGGCCCATTCTAGCAGGGCCCATGGAATATATATATATATATATATATATATTGTAGCATTTTAGCCAGACAAGACAAGTTAAACAATGGTAATTAAACCAAAACAAGCAATCAAAGTCGTTTATGTCCGAGCCATCCAACATGTGTGTCACTGCCATTTCCAGCGCCCAAACGTCTTTGATTGGGTCGCTTTCGCTTCCTAACTCTTTACCTGACCGCCTTGTGATACGTCAAAATAAAAAGAATAGAGAAGAAAAGCTTTAAATTTCTAGAATTATACACGACTGTACTGTACACTGTACAGAGCCCACAACCAAAGCGGCCCAGGTTCGGGCTCCAAGGCCGAGGTTTGGAGAAAGCTAAGAAGCTCGCGTCATTGACTTCACTGACACAGAAAAAAAACAGAGAGAAAAGAAGCTCATCAGCTTCGGTTAAAGTTCAAATTGTTGTGATTTACAGCGTAAAACTTGGAAGTGTTGGAAGGAACTCCGTGTGCTTTGTGATCACAAACAATTGACAAAGCCTAACTCGTCGTGTCACGTCTTCTTGCTTAAATTCTCAAATCCCAATAACACAAGAGTTTTTAAATTCCCTCAATTTTCGTGTGCTATTACAAAATTGTGTGCTTGCTGGTGGAGTCAGCAGCGCATGCTTGATCAACGACGATCGTCCTTCTCTCATAGCCTCTGATCCAACAATTTCTTCTTCTCAGGTTGGTCCTGTCACTGCAATGCAGTTACAATTCAACAATCTCCCCAATTATTTTTTATTTTTTTAAACCAGAAGTAAATTTTTCTCTTTTAAATTGCGATTATGTTCTTGGTAATGCAAATTTTGGATTTTGATTGCAAAGCTGATTGGGTTTTCTTTGTTTTTGGCAGTTTGGCTTGTATAATTTGACCCACACAATGGCGCAGAGTAATTGGGAAGCAGATAAGATGTACATACTGTGATTTATTTATTAGTGAACTGTTACATGATTTGATTATGTATTATGTATTTGTTAGTGGGTTTTTTGCTAAATTTGGTTAATTTGCTTTGTCTATAGGCTTGATGTGTACATTTATGATTATTTAGTGAAGAAAGAATTGCATGCCACTGCTAAGTCTTTCATGAATGAAGGGAAGGTTGCACCGGATCCAGTAGGTAATGGACACTAAACAATAGCAAAGAATTTATTCACTTCTTCTTTGTGCTTATAATTACTTTGGTAATACTATTCAACTTGTTGAATTGGGCTAGATTAGATCCGTTTGGAATGGTCCTATTGTTTATGCTGCTCGCTTCCAATCAATTTGAGTAGCAATTTATCACGCTTATTGACTTGGGACTCTAAGAGTACTGTCTTCACTTCAAGTTAACTGTAATTAGTTATTACATATAATATGCAGCCATTGATGCTCCCGGGGGGTTTCTTTTTGAATGGTGGTCTGTGTTTTGGGACATTTTTATTGCGAGGACAAATGATAAACATTCTGAGGCCGCCGCAGCTTATATAGAGGTGACTGTTTCAATTTTAATGCTATAGATGTGGCCGCTAGGTTAATTGTGCTACTTATGCTGATGTTTTAACTGACCTCTTTATGCACTCCTATTTTCTTGATTTGCAGGCACAACAAGGTAAAGCAAAAGAGCAACAACAGCTGCAAATGCAGCAGTTGCAACTAATGCGCCAAGCTCAGATGCAACGAAGGGATCCTAATCATCCTCCCCTTGGTGGTCCATTAAATTCAATAAGCTCTGAAGGAATGCTTGGGCAATCTACTGCTAGTGCACTGGCAGCAAAAATGTATGAGGAACGTGTGAAACACCCCAATCCAATTGACTCAGAGACATCCCAACCACTCCTTGATGCTAGAGTGGCCCTTCTGAAATCAACAAACCATCCTGGGTAAGCAACTGGAAGATCATATTTTCACAGTTTTCTGATATTTAGTTATTTTGGTAGTTTATTTTTCTTGGTCATTTGCTAATACAGTCAGATGGTTCAAGGAAACCCTGGTAGTGTTAATGCGGCATTACAACAAATCCAGGCTCGAAGTCAACAGACCACAGTAACTACTTATACAACACTAATTGTACTGTTTTCTTCCTTTCCTTCTTTCTAATTTTAGTAAAGCTTTGCTTCTGCCTTGTCTGTAGGACATAAAGAGTGAAGTTAACATGGGCACTGCTCAGAGATCTTTGCCTATGGATTCTTCAATTTATGGGCAGGGCATGATGCAGTCAAAACCAGGAATGGGGAATGCAGGTATGACTTCCTGGTTCTTAAAAGAATTTAAGAATCAAAATAGAGGCATAGAATTTTATGTTGTCTACCAGACAGGGGAAGGATTAAAAGCATCATGATTTTGTTATGTTTGTTTATGCTCACTTTCCTACTTTCTTTGTTTCCTTCCACATCATTCCTAACACCAATCTACAATTTATGAGGTATAATTCAGATTAAATAATATTTCGACCTTTCTATTAGGTAAATGTCTTGTAATTTGAGAACGACCTTTCTATTTATGTCTCTCCTATACCTTAAAGTGCGATTATCTTTTATGCTATTGCATATTTGTTATGTCAAAGCTAAACTTTGTGATGAAAAAAAATAAAGTTATGCTCAAAATGAGATTACAGCTATAGACCATGCCCGCTGCAACCAAATAAAAAGAAAATCAAAGAAGGAAAATGTTAAAATGCTATTCCGTGTAAAATTAAATGAATGTACCTACAAGGCCAGGTGGCTGTTCCTCATTGCACTGAATATTAGGCTAGCTCCTTAGTTGGCATGCCTTGGTGCTCAAACATCCACTCTAGAAACAGTGTGGGGATGTAAGTGTTGAGCCCAGGAGTTCAGTAATGTTCTTTTGTTTGTGTCAAACTGGGTCGCTGTGCAATATGCTTGTGGAGATGCCTGAGAAGTCATATTTTTAAAATTTCCTGTTAAATTTTCTAATTATTGTTAAAAGAATTATTTTTATTTTTTCTTTCTTTGGAATACAGGATTGAACCCAGGAGTTGGTGGTCTTCCGTTGAAGGGTTGGCCTTTAACTGTGAGTTGTATTCTGAAGTTCATGTGTCTTAGGGATTCATGTTGTAAATATGACTGGTCTGACGATTTTAACTGAGGCATGTGCCAATACAGGGAATTGACCAGATGCGGCCAGGTTTAGGTGCTCAAGTTCAAAAGCCTTTTCTGCAAGGTGCAACTCAGTTTCAGCTTCTCTCGCAGCAACAACAACAGCTTTTAGCACAGGTTCAGGCACAAGGAAATGTTGGTAGCTCACCTATCTATGGAGATATGAGGGGATTTCCTAGGGGAAATTTAAATGCCAAAGATGGTCAGCCAATCACAAATAATGGATCTATAGGTTCTCCTATGCAGTCAACTTCATCGAAGGTAAGATGTTATTCACAAGCTTGGCAAGATTGGTCCTCCTTCTTGATTATAAATGTTATATCTTTCTATAGGTCCTCCTATGCACTTTTATGTTGAATATATAGGATTGCTGCTGCATAAGGTTTGGGGTTTCTTAGTGTAGGTGTATAAAAGAACATCTCTAGGGCTAATGATTTATAAGTCATATGGTTGGTTAAGAGTAACTACTCTTTGTGATGATTTTTCCAGAACCTTTGGTGTGTTTAAAACAGACATAATGATGACGTTTCTCTTAATTTTGCTGTGTTTCAATCAGATAAACATGTCACAGATGCAACACTCTTCTTCTCAACAACAACAGGATCCTTTGCAGCCTCAGCAAGTACAGCAGGTTGTGCTTGCTTTTGTTGATACAGTGATGTCAAGTCCTTTATTTTCCCTTCACTGCTATAAGCTAAATTTTTAATTGAGGTCACATGTTTGAATATTAATTCTGTCTGAGCTTTTCTATGAACCAAATTGATACTATACTAAAACACACACACACACACATATATATATATTAGATTATTTACTAATGGCCGTTTATCATGTAATAGAATAGCCGCAAGAGGAAAGGGCCTTCTTCCTCTGGAGCTGCTAACAGTACTGGTACAGGAAATACAATTGGTCCTTCACCCAACTCTCAACCATCAACGCCATCCACCCATACCCCTGGAGACGGAGTTTCTATGGCTGGTAATTTGCCAAATGCCAGTAGCGTTCCGAAAAGTATTATGATGTATGGCGCTGATGGAACTGGTGGCCTTGCATCGTCCACAAACCAGCTGGTACGTAAAATTTAGATATTTAACCTTCGTTATCTACAGACAGGAGGGTTAATCTGAATGCTCAGGACTCCATAAGACATGACATTCCTTGCAAGTAAAATCATTAGGATCCAAAAAAGCAATAGTCTTCACCGTAGATATTTAATTGGAACAAGCAATTACTAATTACTTTCATACCTTTTCCAATAATATCTTGATTTAAAACCATGTGTGAAGGATTGGAAAAGGGAAATTTGATGCTCCTAATGATTTGATTATGTTTATTAGCTGGGTCCATGTTTCAATGGATGTGGAATTGATAAAGGTGTTGTGTGTACAAAGTTACTAGCAAGACACGTATTTTCTTATCATCTGAGGTTTTTGAATCTCATATAATTAAATGTGCTATACTTTGTGTTTGACTGCAAAATTTTATCTCCGAAGTTCTCATTTCCCCTCATATCCATTTTATTATCCATGCATAAGTTATAAGTTATAACTATTTATACTTTTAACATCGTGTCCAATTGGGGTGCTTGAGATTAATGGCTCCAATCTGTGTCTGCTACCTGATTTATCTAATGGGACCACTCTAGCAAATTGTGCTTGCTTCGAGACAGATTTTCCCCACTAAATTTAAAAAGTCTTTGTTGAATCATTTTTTTCAATTGCAGGATGACATTGAACAATTTGGGGATGTTGGCTCCTTAGAAGATAATGTGGAATCCTTTTTATCACATGATGATGGAGATGGAAGGGATCTTTTTGGCACATTGAAACGGAACCCTGCACATTCTGCAGAAGCTTCAAAGGGTATAGATGATTTCATGTTTGAAAATGTTTTTTTCTCCTAAATTTGTTAAATGTTCATTGATAGCATGGTCAAAGATGCATGATTCATGATATCCAAACAACTAATGGTATTAGCCTAAAAATGTGGCCATCATGACTGCTCTTCTACCCGTCAATTGTCTCTAACAGCTTCTCCTTCGTCACCTTGTTGCCAAGGTGTGTTTCATCATCCAAAGCATAGAGCTTGAACTTGAAACTAGGATCATGCGTGGCAACTTGGGTTGACCTTATTACAGAAGGAACCTATGACCATGTGTGTTTTTTATCCCAGCATTATCACCACCTACCTCCTCTTCTTTCCCAGAGAGAAGCCCTTTGGGATACGCTCCAAAACTGGTTGAATGTTCACCACCAACCAATGGGTCCACAATACAATTGGGTATTTTGGTTCCGGGGCATCAATATCCTGCACCGCAAGAGCCAGACTCTTGGTTACTTGGCAGATTGTACCATTTAGTGGTAGATATTTTTTTCTTCCCTCCTTGACCTTCTAACGTGTACTTTCTGGTCAGTCTTCCTTCATGGTCTTTTCCAGGTGATGTCAACCTGAATTCATTGCTAGCTGCCTTATTTCTTGCTAATAAACTATTTTATGCCAAAACCCAAGAGACAATCTTGCTAAATTCATTGCAGCCAAGATTACTGCTATTAAGTACAGTGTTAATTGATCCAACTGACTGCAGCAGTGACTTTTTCTCTTTAACTCAGGTTTTTCCTTCAGTGAAGTTGGTTCAATACGTAAAAGTAGTAGCAAAGTTGTCTGTTGTCATTTCTCTTCAGAGGGAAAACTGTTGGCCAGTGCTGGGCATGACAAGAAGGTATAATTCCCTCTAGGGAATGAATTACAATTTCTAAAGATACTGGGTGAACAATAATGCTAGAGACACCACATTTTTGCACCGTATTGAAATACTAGATCATGTGGCAAATAATGTGTACATGCCATTTCAATTAATGATTTTCTCTCTTTGGATGTTGCTTGTACAAATCACTTGCCACATTATTGTATTGAAATGTGGTACAAAAATTTGTTCAGCCTAGTATTACTTTATTATAATGTTGTAAAGTGTTTATTCATTTATGCTTCACATGAATGATGCTGTTACTAGTTACTACTGACTTGTATTATTTTGGTCCAGAAGATACTTCAGGAAATATGTTATGACTTAGTTCCGGGGAAAGCCATTCTGATTATTTTGATTATTTATCTAAAACAAAGCATCTCTACTGATTGTTACACCCCATATTTGTGATAAAATGTGAAGTTAACACTGATTTAGTGAGGTGCATGTAAGAAAAAATAGATTGATACCAGAATTCGCTGTATCCCTGAAGATCCCTTTACCAAAATGGTTGAATGGCTTTGGCGTATATGCATTGTCACTGGCTCTGTATGATTGCGATTTTATAAAGTTCTCCCAGAATGGCCTTTTTCCAGTTTCACATAGTATTTCCGACTGGAGGCAAGGCATTCATACATAGTAAGATGTGTGTGATAATGTCTTATGGGGAAAATGCAGATCAATGGTAAAACACTTTTTGATTGTGGGTTTAACTACCTGTGCAATCAAGGCAGGATTATTTGGGAAAGAAAACCCACATATACGCGTGTGTGTGTGTGTGTGTGTGTGTGTATACACAGATATTCTCCTTTGCGGACGTCCAGAAGTTATTACTGTACGGACAGCATGTATTTTCTACCACTCCTCCCTCCTTTCCTCCCTGTTTACAATGGCATCGGCATGGTAATAACTTCCGAACGTCCGCATAGGGGAAGAACTGGTATATATGAGTAGAGAATCTGCGGTGTTCCTGATTCTTCCATGGTGCTATAGTTGCGCAAACTCCAACTCAGGTGGCATTGGGGTTGGATGGGGAAGGGGTAGAGCGCAAGTTCAAGTCTTGTTGTAAGCTAAATAATTGATTTGCTAATTGGGTTTAGGTAATTCTTATCTGATAATTGTAACAGAACTGGTTTTAGATTGATGCTATTTTCAGATGGTCTGAAACTTTTACTTTGGAATTCAATAAATTAGTGACTTCAATTGATTCAAACAATCCTAAGTTATCCAAATTTCAATATTAATGAGAAAAGGAATGATGTGAATGATTTTCTTTCGTTTTTTCATGTCAGTAGGTTGTTGTCTGGAATATGGAAACACTGCAAACTGAAAGCACACCAGAGGAGCACTCCTTGATAATTACTGATGTTCGATTTAGACCAAATTCAACTCAGTTGGCAACTTCTTCATTTGACACAACTGTGCGACTTTGGGATGCTGCTGAAGTAAATTCTGTGCTTCCATTTCTGTTTCATTATTAATGTTGCCAAATGCATTTTCCATAAACATTTTTTGGTTTCCTTTCCTCTGGTTTTGATTTATTCTCAATTAAATATCTGGACCCCGACTGAAATAATTATTCAAAATAGTTGGCAAGGCAACTTCTTCATTTTTTTATGCTTGTTCATGAATGCTTATTGTTTCCCAAAGGAATCATAGTTTTGTTACAATATAATGTGTGAGGTTGTCTAACTGGATAGTCTTATTGATGACATGCATTATGACAATCTTGCTAGTTTGTAAATTCAATTTGAGGAGACTCAAGATTTTTTAATGTACTATGGAATTTAGGTAATGGTGTGATAAGGCGTAGATTTAAAAAATTTCAGATTTATATATTTTTTTGGCCCATGTATGTCCCAGGATAGTCAGCTAAGCATGTCGGTGTTATTTAAAGTGTAACATGAATGCTAAGAATGGATTTTCACTTATTTGAACTTTCAAACATGATATGGTATATAAGATACTGTATATTTACAACATTGTCATTATAATCTACCTTCAGAGAGAGATATTTGACCTCTCTTTTGACTTCTGCTTTCATTATTTTATAGCTTCTACTTCTTTATATTTCGTATGTTATCAATGGCATCAGGTCCATTTTATGTGCTGGAATATCCGAACATAGTATGCATTAGGTGCTTGTATTTGACATGTGTAATCAAGAATTTCCTGACTTACTTTTTCTTTATCACCAGTGAAGTTTTTGGTCTGCATTTATAAAGGGCACTTATATTTAGTTTATTCCTTTCCGCTCATTTTATTATTTTGGGTTTCTAAAGGGTTGAGTTCATTTTTGCAGCCAAACTATCCTTTACAGACATATACAGGGCATACCTCACATGTAATGTCACTTGATTTCCATCCTAAGAAGAATGACCTTTTCTGCTCCTGTGATGCTAACAATGAGATTCGCTTTTGGAATATCAATCAGTATTCTTGCACTCGCGTTTCTAAGGTTAGTATTGGGACTCTCCTTTAGTTGTTTGAAGTTCATGATTAATTTTTGTTTATTTTCTGTTCTAAATATCAGTCATTTAATGATCCAGGGAGGCTCAGCACAGGTGAGATTCCAGCCAAGAATTGGACAGTTTCTTGCTGCTGCATCTGGAAATGTTGTGTCTATATTTGATGCTGAGAGTGACAGGCAGACACATTCATTGCAGGTATGATTCGCAATTGTTAATTTCAATGAAACTTAAAGGTTTCATTAATCAATCAAGTCTGAAAAGCAGGTTATGTTTTGATATGTTACTGATCGTAAAGCACAATGTTTTGAATCTCAGGGTCACTCCACAGAGGTACACTCTCTTTGCTGGGATACAAATGGAGATTATTTGGCATCTGTCAGTCAAGAGTCTGTCAGAGTGTGGTCATTATCCTCTGGAGAGTGCATTCATGAACTCAGTCCCAGTGGAAACATGTTCCATTCTTGTGTTTTCCATCCAAGCTACTCCACTCTCTTGGTCATTGGAGGCTACCAGGTAAACTTTGCTTTGTTTTGGTGACGTGAAATGAAAAATTGGATTGCACACGAATTCTGTTACGTTTGAAATATTTAGAATATTATTTTCTCAGAACTGCCTGGTCAGCGGCCACTTAGAAATAAAAATCAACTCTTGTAGGTTGTTTGGCCACAATTATGTTGCATCAAGACATCACATGGAAATAGAACAATTCCATAGTGATCTGTCGGCCAAATGCTATGTAAAATAGAGTGGACTTTCTTATCCTCTTCCAAATTTAACTTGAGAGAACATCCGTTCTGTAAACCATTGAGACTGAGTTTTCTTTTTCAGATGTATGTTATAGGATGCTAATGCTGCTTTTTTCTTTAAATTTGCTTGCAGTCATTGGAGCTCTGGAACATGGCTGAGAATAAGTGTATGACCATTCAGGCTCATGAGGGTGTAATATCAGCTTTAGCACAGTCACCAGTCACAGGAATGGTCGCCTCTACTAGTCACGACAAATCCGTTAAAATATGGAAATAAAGTTTGCTGATTTTTTCTTCAAATCCCCAGTTTCAAGTCCGCTGGCTCTTCATCTCATCAACTGCAGAGAAAGTCTGAATAAATTTTAAACATAAAAGCTCATCATGTATTTAATTTGATTTCATATTTTTTATTGTTTATTCTCCCTCCATTTATACTTTCTTTTTCTTTTTTCCTTTACAAGTAATAAGATGATGGTTAAAGTTTACCTTAGTTAGAAGCAACTTTACACGCTATCTCAAGTATGAAATGTTTGATGGTTTAATGAAGCAATGACTTATGAGGCTATTTTAGGTGGAAACTATTGGCAAACAGGTTAAAATGTAAAGTGTCGACTAGTCTCAGTTGAATTGAAGGTTTTGTCTTCTTACCAAGTCTTACCAAGAAAGAGGGCTCTATACCGCAGGTTTTCTATGGTACAGTAAACTGCGGATAACCTCTTTTTGCACCGTCGATCGATTGGCATGGACAGTACCTGTTGATCAGCAAGGCAAAAGTGGTTATCCCGCACTTGTGGTTACCCACAGTATAGAAACACTGCTCTAACTACCGTTTATATACATGCATAAAATTTGGCATGGCTGCCAAACGATGTGTGATTTGATTCGATTTGATTTTCTCTGAGTAAAAACAAACAAACGAATGACTTTTGGGGTCGCAAAACCAAACAAATGACTTAAATCCAGCAAAATATGAATAACATGTTGGATTTGGTATTTTTTTTTTAAAGGGCTCAACCAGATTTAGTTTAAGCCCGTCCCAACAATTCTAACTCACATTTTGATGAGGTTTTCAATATGGTATAGTTTATATTCCTGTGACCTGCACAATAGTTGATGAAAATGTAACTTTTATATTTATACCCTACACAGAAAAACCAATATGATAGAAATGTGGAACCAATGCCAATGCCATGAATGATGAAAGATATTTTGTTCATCTTTATCAAATAAATGAAACCTTAAGCACACACAACTTCTAGTACAGTGCAGAAAGATCACACATCCTTGACATCCAATTTTAGATGATACACATCCCACAACATAGGTAATTGGTTTATATATCTGGTCACAAACCTCTCCAAGAACTTATGCGGTTGAGGCAACAACACAGAACACAAACTGAAGTCTTCATCTATCAACCCCTTCAACAACAAAACTTTAACAACTGAACATCTTGGAATAATTCTCTTCTCCAAACTGAAACACAAAACCAAAGGGTATGTGGCAATCACTCCTGAAGAATATCCCATCTTGTTCACAAAAAAATCCATTACCTCCATTATTTTCTTCTCAGACATAGTCATGCACTGTGGATTCTTCCTGAATGCAGAGACCAAATCATTATCAGACCAACCCCAACTCCGCTTGTAAATTTCACGGCTTCGATTCCATATGGACTTATTGCTCTCTCCACACAATGCTCTTAGTGCCAACACAAAAGTTGATTTATTCACATCAAATCCCATTGCCTTAACCTCTTCCACAGCTGCAGCAAACCTTTCATGCTTGTGTATCAAGACCTCAGTGTTGTGAGCTACCAACAGACCAATGCATGATTTGGGCATACCCAATTCCCTCAAAAGCTCAATATTGGGGACCACATTCTTTCTGCGATTTTCCCGGAAAATCCAAGAACTGCGCTTCAGAACAGAAACTACATTTTCCTCGGAAATATGACTCCTGAGAAAATTATAAGCGGGTATAATCTGATTCTCCAAGCTTCTTAACAAAAGGTGGGGATTAAAACACAGAATTCTCGCAAGGTCTTCCCTTGAAACTACAACAGAGCTGAAAAACTCAAGCTTGGGCGAAAGGATTTTCTCAGGATCAGCTACAAGAATAGTAGGGCGTGACCTGACAACCTTTGAGATCTGGGTTTCAGAGAGTCCATGCTTTCTCAAAAGGGCCAAAACAGAGTCTGCTCCTTGTGAGGATTGCAACTCTACCCATTTGGATGATAAAATTGCGCCTTCTGGGGACAACCCACATGAGTTTATGAGGTAAGCGACTGTGAAATTGTGTCGGTCTGCTGAGATTTTTGAGGTGATGGATCTGTGAAGTAGATGATTTTGAAGAGAAATGTGTGAGGGTTTAAGGTCTCCAACAAGAAATCTGTTAGCTGTGGAAGCAATTGTACAAGAAATTATTGAATAGCCCAATCTGGGGGTGTTCAAGCTGTAGAGAGGTACCACCATGTTTGACCCTGCTTAGATGTTGATGACGATCAATTTCTAATTCTACTGGTCATTCTAAAACCCTAGGCAGCAGGACGGTTTTGGGTCCGTGCCATATGCTTAAGAAGACACATATTTTTTGGGTTAATTACAATTTTGGTCGCGATTTGGCTCGAAATCAATTTTGGTCACCATGATTTCAATTTTTTCCAATTTCGTCACTGCATTTGCAATCATGAACAAATCAGGTCCAAGCCTTTATTTCCGTCAATTGGACAAGGACTTTATTGTCCTTTCGTAAATAAAAAATAAAAAAGGTTGTGTTTAATATGAATTATAAGACAAAGAATGAACATGAAGCTTTCATATTAAAACTCCATCAAATCCCAAATGTTTAATATCAATTAAACTTCGATAGCAGGATTGATATGGCTAATCAATCCTAAAACGTGCTAAACATAAAACAAAGGAACACGTAGAGAATTATTTTACGTGGTAAAACCTCACCTATAGGGAAAATCCACGAGACTCCTTAATCTAACACAAATCCACTATAGAACGATGATTACAAGAAGTAACTTACACACTTATCCTGGACACATTCTAGATAATATTTACCGACTTCTTCATAATTCAACTTCTGTCACGGGATGATCTTCGACACTCCTTATGTTGAACTCAATACTGGTAATAATTACTTCAAGCTCACCAGAGAAAAACCGCCACCACGGTCTTGGTGCCCTCAACCATATAAGTTACCGAACAATGCAAATGAATGATTAAAGTGTTCGATAAATTACCAAGTAAACATATAACACTTGATGATTTATCTCAAATATACAGTAGCTTTCTTAAGAATTTTATATGCTCAAACAAAATATGGGAAAACTGTTTTTTTTTTTTTTTAGTGTAAAAAAGATGCACACCATGTTTTATACATAACTCAATCTCCTCTTTTCAAGAGAAGTGTAAAAACCCACGAATCAATATCTTGCCATTGATTAGATTTGACACTCTTAGAATCCTAATTGATTTCGTCAGTTCTATGACTTTCACTCTAATAAAGAAACATTAAAACCAATTTGGAAACAATATTATAGAAGGAAACAATTGTTTTCATCTCTTAGGAAAATAATAATCCCAATTGTTTTCCCTCTAAACTGATTTCGTCTCTTAAAATCTCAATTGTTTATAGAATGAAACAATATTGGTATTAAATGAAACATGCTCTCCAAGTCAAATATGAAAAAGGATATTTTTACTTAAACCAAAATAGAGTCCAACTAGGAAAGTAATCCCAAGAGATAAAATCTAATTCTATTAAAAATAGGGTTAACATAAAAGTGCTTCAGTGAAAATAACTCTAACTAGGAATCCTATAGTGAATGCATGATTATGTCGTGATTTACCTGAAATCAAGTTCCTCATATCAATCACGTCATACTTCAAAAATCCAGGACTAAATGTGTTGAGCCAAACTTCCAGTAAAAGATATTCACACACTAATTCTCAACCTATACTAGAGTCTAAGAAATGTCAATACAATTTTCATATTAACACACACTTTGCAAATTACAAATACAATGGACCACCATGTTCTCTCCAGAATCTACCAATCTGGAGGTACAGTAATTGCTATTTTATGGCTATCTTCTCTGACAACCCCAATCCACCCCTAAATCCAATGTCATACAGTCCAGATGAGAGAGAGAGAGAGAGAGAGAGAGAGAGAGAGAGAGCAAACAATGACAGTGGTGGCGGCTGGGTTCGCCGGAGGAGGAGGACGCTGGGTTTTAGGGTGGGCTATCTTGATCAATTTTGGAGGAGAGAGAGAGAAGCCTGACAGCTTTGCACTAAAGGTTAATGGCTTGGATTCATTTGTGTTTTTTGAGAAATAAAGCAATTCACATGGGTTCTTCTTCTCAAAGTCAATGTTAATAGAATATTTGCTTGCTTTCATGGCTGCCAACGACAATGGTGGATATATGGTCGAGAGGTTAGGATGGGGTGGGGTTACACTTGGGAATGGGGGTGGTTTTGCCCCTTTTTTTTCTTCTTTTTTTTATATAAAAGATTTTATATATTTGATTATAAAATTTTGTTTAATTTTTAGGACAATAAAATCCCTGCCAAACTGATAAAATTGAAGGCTTGGACCTGATTTGTTAACGATTGCAAGTACAGTTATGAAATTAGGAAAAGTGAAATCACAATGACTAAAATTGATTTCGAGCAAAACCCTAGTGACCAAAATTGTAATTAACCCATATATTTTTTAATTTATACTGAAAACCCAAATGGCACCAAGGAATACAGTGAAATGGATATGTATACAACATTTTTGCTCACCACTGTATCATCACCACCCTTCTCAACACCTAACACTTGTCCATTAACATAACTATAGTTCCACAAATACAAAGTAAATAGTTAAATATGGTTAGGCCTATGGACACGTGTCAAGTGTTGAGAAGGATGGAGAGCATACACCTTGAGTTAAAATAGTGAGCAAAAATATTTCTCTACCTACATACTTCATAATTAAGGAGTAATTAATTGAGCACATTGAGGTAAATAATTGGGGCATATATACTATAGTAGAGGTAATTCACTTACCCATTTAGAACTTTACTTAGCGTTGAGGCCTAAAAAATCCAAGGCTTGGCCTAAATATATTCCCGGCCCAGTACAACACCTTACTGAGAAGAAACCCAATTTGGGTACACAAGAGTTCATCGTACGCGCTCGCACAAGTCATGGTCCACGTACCACTCCAAGCAAATACATAAACCGCCATGCCAAAAGGTCGTGACAAGCCCATAAAATTTACTGGCTCCACTAACCCATGCTTATTATCCCATCAAGTTCCATTTTGGCCTCGCTATAGCCCTTTACAATACGACAAAACTTGAGCACAAGCACGCCAAATAACAAGCGACATTAAGCGGAAAATCCTTATTTTTTCACCTGTAGGGGCTTTTTTCTTCTGACAGCTACAAATGGACTGGGCTGCTGTAAGGAGCAATCTAAAGAAATCGTCCCCTGTGTTTGAGATCGAAAATTAAGCCCCAAAAATGTTTCGAAAGGGCAATAGAGCCTTAGGAAGCATCTTGGTTACCTTCACC